TGAAGAACAGGACATATTTTATAAGAATGAGGGTATGTTGTCAACCCAACTCTAGATTCTTTGGGGGGGGGGGTCTCTCCTTCTGGTAACTGGAAGATTTGTAAAGAAGATAAAGAGCTCAATACTTGCTAACTTATCCCCTAAAGACACATCTGACCCTGTGAGGAAATGGGAGGCATAATTACAAATATCATAGCAAAAGAATCATGAGACAACAGCTAGTGATAACCATCTGAGGATACAGTCTCCCAAAATGCCCTCATGACCATCTGAAAACCTTCCATGCCTCCTCTTTTATCATTTCAACTGGCACTACTCTGAGAACTGGCTGAGACACAAGAGTCATAAGGAATTTTCTCTACGTATATGAAGACCATTTTCATTCTCCCAACATGATTAACTTTATTCTTGAATTGATCTATTGTCTAGCTTCATGCAATATACTCAACTATGAACTAAACCAACTGCCTGAATTCACCTAACATACTAAAATCAGTGACTCACATTTACACTAACCAAGCTTCACACTTCATTCAAATGTAGCCATTAGGTCTTAATACGCCTGGTTAAAATATTGTACACACAGCTGATTGAAAAGCAAACTCTTCTCATTAATTTATTATATAGTTTGATCATTAAGATGGCATTGCTGCAGCCTAATTCATACAGCACTAGGCACTAATGTTAGTTTAATTCCAGCTTACTGTGTATTGTATTAACCCATATGACGAGTGGTTTCTAAATCATGCTTCTATAGTTTAGTGTGTTGTGAAATTTAGCCAACTACAGTATGATTTATTAAGTGAACAATGATTTAGCATGACTGATGAACCTTGTTATGATCCTATTTCTACAGCACAAAACGTTGTTGTTCTTTAGTAACCAAGTTATAGAATGTCAAAAGATTTCAGGTTGTATATGAGAAACAGATAATTTAGGGACTCACAATTGATCTCCAAATCCTGCTACGTGGAATAATTGTGCCTTTTTTCTTTGAAAATAAAACATGACTTTCCTAATTAAAACAAGCTTCCTACATAAAACAGCACAGTCAGTATGATAATCGACTACCTTTATATTTACCAGTAACAAGTAGTTGAAATTATTCTGGGGTGACATAATGTCCATCCTTGTCCAAAATGTCTTGGGTTGAATTTTTCAGGTGTTTCCTGTAGTTTGAGATCAAGAAATATTGAATTCAGACCTGTGTTAATAAAATAAACCTTGAAATAATTATTTTAAAAAAAACAGTTGACTCAGAATGCATCCAAACTATTCCATTTCAGATTAGTTCATCAACTTCATAGGACCAATTTTTCATATAGTATGTACAAGCTTCATCCTTCTGGAGCAAAGCATAGTGTATTTCTGTGGCACATCTGAACCTAGATCAATTTCTGTGCCTCTTATAAAATGGAGATAGAAAAAAATCATTTGGAACATGAATAAAGTAATATTATACTCTTCCTGGGTTTTGTTTTTTTTTAATCCTCCCAAAACCTATAAGCTATGAGCTGGTGAAAAGAACAGGCTGCTATCAGTACCCCTTCACTGGAGTCTCCACACAGAAACTAATGGTCAACTATATGAAATGCTTCAGTGGATCCTGCCCAGAGAGGGGGTTGGACTAGGTGTCTGTAGTTGGAATAAAGTAGTTTGCAACTCTAGGATTCTATGAAAAGAAGAAATCAACTGATCTGCTGATGCAGTAAAGGGTCTGAATAGATTATTATTTATTTTTTAAATTATTTAAAACACGTTTATGGTAGCCCATATTATATGCCATAAAAAACTACAATTGTAACAAAATTCCCAGCATCCAAAAGGCAAACACTCCTCCATTCTTCAACATTCAGTTTTGAAGAGTTCCAAAAGTAAGTATAAAATGAAGAAGCTCAGATGTCTTCTTGACATCTAAAAAACTCAATATACCAAGGAATGTATTGATTCCTTGAACTAGCCACTTTTGCAAAATATACAGTAGTAAGAAAGTAAGAATTGGATGCTTACTTTCTCCATCTGTAGCAAATAGAAATCTTTGTATCTATTCAACAGAAATGCTGAGGGGAAAACATCCAGATTTCCCAAGTGAAAGCCCTCCTGTGAGATAAATGGGACTTATAAAAGATACAGATATTAGGGAATTGTAAAAAGGGAGTGTGTGAATTCATTGGAGCAAAGCTGGGAAGTGTTGGTTCTGTAATCCAAGTTCTAGATTTCACTGCTTGAGCTTCTCCAGACTTCATCCAAGCCAGCATGGATACAAATTGCAGGGGGTGGGTGTTTAGGCCCCTCAATGAGCCAGGTCATCCCTTATTGGTTTCTGCCAAGAAGACTGGCATCTGTCAGAACTAGTTGGAAGTTTACCTCCTCTCATTTGTTGAAGCCAATACTTCAACCAGCAGAACTGTAATCAAACCTCAACTGAGATACCACCAGGTTCTCATTGGAGAAGTGCATTAGCAACATAGTGGGGAATATGGAGTGAGGATCTTATAAATTTAGATTGTACAGCTGCTAATGCATGGATAATCTTGTAATTGCCACATCTCTGCCATACAGCAAAGCACCTAGCACTTTGGCTTTGAAATGATTAATTGCTGCAGGCATGCAGTTGTTACTCCTGCAGATTGAATATCTGATGATTGCATTAGGAGCTGTTTCAGATTTCAAGAATGCAACTTCCAGGAAGATGACTGAGAAAAGATGCCACCTAGTGAATACAATCAGCTTGGTTTTCATATCGTGGATTTCTAACATTTTAGAATAGAAGGAGGATGCTAATCCATGAAGGCTGCATCACAGCCAGGCAAGATCACAACATTGTCAGCATGTAGGAGAATGGAGACTGATTTAATGGTCACAAAAAAAGGACGAAATTCAGCTTTGCTCAGGGCCTGAACAATATCATCAATATAAAAAATAATCAAGATATTTTTTGTAGATACATACATGCTTCACTCTCTTGAAGGTTGGGAAGGGTCAGTCAGGTCTCCACTTCTAGTCCCTTCATGCAACTTCGTATAATAAATTTAAAGTAGTTCAACATGGAATGAGAAGCACAAGATGGCAATTGGACAGATGTTGTCAGCAACTGCCACTGATATTAAACCTGCTGTGTGAAGCCAGACTATATTCAATCTGGAAAAAGGAAAACTGATGTGAAACATGAAATCTGTGCTCAGGTACATAAAGAGAAGCTATGGGGAAGAGGGTCAAGAAGTATTTTCCATGGCCTTGGGAACTAGGATGAGAGAATGGGTAAAAGTTGCAGCCACCTCATTTTTGTTTAAATATAAAGGAAAAATTGGATGCAAGAACTGAAGACCAGCGGAATGGTCTATTTATGGAGGTTGTGGGAAACACTATCTCTGGAGGCTTTTAAAAGGCTGGACAGTTACATCTCATGGAAAGATGATTTGGTTCACTGGACACTGCAGAGGGTTGGGGAAACTCAACTTTGGGGTCCATTCTAACTCTACAGTTCTATGATATTGGCTATGATATTGTCATCTTGCATGAGGAGCTATGGTTCCTCTACAAAGAACAGAAGTGGCATTCCCATGACCCACCAAAGTTCTTGGGAACTGTGCATACCAGGTCAGAATTCCCTTCCCCTTTGTAGAAAATACCAGCTGATCCATGATTGTTCTTTCTTTAGAGTGGATTCTGATGAGGTCAACTCCATTAGCTT